CGTCTTATCGCCGGTTTTTAGCCGGGCTATGATATAATTACGATAACGAGTGTCACCACTCTTCGAGAAAGTGGCGATGATTCAACCGCCCCCTCATCCTCCTGCCCCCCGTTGTGCTCGGAAATTGAATCCTGCGATTACGGTGACCAACGACAGTTCACGTAATAAATGATGCACAGTGCGTTACAGAGATCAGCGTTTAAGGTTGACGGGCTACGCAATTCGAAAGAAAAGTGTGTCAACGATAATACAACAACCGTGACTAAAGTGCTTACTTGTTTGTTTAAGTCTGTTATAAATGGAGTAATGCTCATAGATAATAGTCCATTAATTTTTATCGTCGCTTTAACAATATGATACGCGCGAAAGCGATCCACTCTGTCCCAGCTACTTTGGAAGACATTTGCTGCTCGTTACCGAACACTCGATAATCGCGTGAAATATTGTATATCCGCCTGGACACGAAAAACGTCGTTCGTGACAATTTACAGAAATAACAGCCTTCGAACGTGCACCGAGCATGGTGGAATTTTAAGTTGCTTTTGGGGGCGCTTTGAATTTATTTTTAGGGAGAATTGAAACAAATGAAAGGCATGAGATCCGTTCGAGAAACAACTGCTCCGAATAGATGGAAAAATCTGCGAATATTCAGCTTCTGCCATTCCCCCGACCTTCGATTCACGCCTTCATCGGGGGACGAGCAACTTGTTAAGGCGCTGCCTCGCAGCTTGAGCGATCTCCATACAATGCGGCCCAGCGAAAATTCCCAAATCCAAGCACCTACGCGTCAAAGCGACGAAACTCGGTGGAACGCCTTGCTCTTTCGTTTCACCTTGAGACCGGCTCGCTAAAAAGATGTTCCGATTCCCGAAACGAACGTGTCGCGAAAAATCGACAACCGCGAGCCGAAAACCTGTCGTTCGTTGAACGAACCGCGTAATGGCGTCGATTGAACGGGCAACGTTAGGCGCGAGACGGGGCAAAAAGTGGCGTTCGAATCGCCATTTCGGAGTAGACGCGATACGGAGGCGCGAACCGAACGCGTACAGATTATGCGTGTCCGTGTGTCGGTGTGCCGGGGCAAAAAGCTCGTTGATGGTAAGACGAGATAATTATTCTAGCGAGCGCAAGCTCTTCGATCATTTCGGAACGTTGCTTTAGGCGTGGCAACACATGTTCTCAGCCTCGGCGCTATGCACACCGCATAGGTATGCGGCGTACACCTATATGCAACATGTCAGGACACGTGGTACCGAATCTCTCAGGCTTGCCAACGGCTATCCATTCTCGCAACGGACAAGATCCCACGCTACAAATTATCCGTTGCGGTCGCAACACCCAAAACGAACCGGTGGCGCTACGCTGCCTCGCGATTTTCACGGATAAACCGCCGTATACTCTGAACGAAAAGGGCATCCGCCCCAAAATAAACGTCTGGAACCACCACTGTTGCTATTTAAAAAAAAATCCATGCATTCGATACGACGCTGAATAAAAAAATATTTCACGTTGTTGAGTCTAGAGTAGGTGTATCTATAAGATTTTTATTAATTTCTTTCGTGAACTAGATTTAGAATAATAAACCAACACATTAAAAATCTATACGAGGGTAATTAACTGGTCATAGCCTAGGCGCTACATGGAGATTGAACAGTATTTCTTAATCTTTAATCTCGACGTTTGGGCCCTCCTCGAGAGATAAATATACTCATAAATTAAGTGAAAATTTCGAGAAAAAAAAAAGAAGCTAAAGGCCCTCGATACATTCCAGTTCCGCCAGGCATTAGTCTCGAAATTATATGTACGAAGGAAAACACATATTTCAAGTTGTACGTAAGTCACTACGATTTTATCGAGCACCGTTATAATAGGTTGAATTCGTTCCGAACTGAAATGCACGAGTGGAATTCGGTTTCCCCATCATATTAAGTACATTAACATGATTAAAATAGTGCGACATATATACTCGAGTTTATTAGTCACACGATAGAACGTTCGATAGACGGATTTAACCGCGACAGTAATTGCGTTTTACATATTTTAAAAATGGACGCGTTAAAACTAGGGAACCATTTCTAACGGTCGTATTAATTGCCCCGCTAATATCGAAATTAATTTATTTCGATACTTACCCTAGGTCATTGCGTACTAGTACCTAGAAGTCTACTCGTTTCCACCGCAAGGAATTTGAAAAAATCATCGAACGTTGGCCCAGACCGGAGATCGGTTCGCGTTTCCTTTCAAAATAAATTATTTTAGAAAGTTAAAAAGAGCGTTACGGGCTCGCGTGACCAATAAATACGTTTCAAAGCCTCGAAAGAGTGGCGAACTGTGGAGGCAGCCTCGCGCGCAATTTCATTAACGGCCACTTCGCAGGAAATCAAGCAACGGTCGTAAGTCGAAGGAGCGAAGAAAGGAGAGTTCCCTCGACAGCTCGTAAAAGCGCATCCCGAGACGACAGGAGCGACGATATCGCGAACAGTCGCGGAGTATATGAACGATCCTTGCACCGGTTTAGACCCGACACATGCGAAATCGCTCACCAGAAGGAACAGATAGACGCAAATAGGCGAGGCTTTCGACCGCTGAATACATTTGACTTTCAAACGATTGAAATTATATCCGGATTCATACATCTACCCGGCCGGACGGGCAACGACCATAGCCGGACGACAATCTCGAAGCGTGTATCAGACGGTTCTTTTAATGTCCACCGTCTAAAGGTGAAATATGCGTGTACTTGTCACCGATATTTCAATGCGTTTTACTTTTTCCTACGCTGACCACTGCGATCTATATGGTTTGCACACGTGTGTCGTTCCCGTTTTCGTCCTCGAACCCGCTCGCGCGGTTTCCGCTCAATTTGTAACCGCGTTTTTCTCGCGCCCCCCACCCCCTCTCCACCGACCGGGAATTTAGCAAATTTTATTTCCGGACAAACGAACGTTCGTAAAACAGAATCCTGGTAATGAATTTTTTAAACCCCGGATTTTCGACGCAATTTTAAATCGGGCTCGACCAAGCGGTAATACGTTTCGAGGCGAATTGTAAATATTATAAATCGCCAAGTTGGTATTAGAAAAAAGTTTTAGCGCGTTAGCACGTGTCCGACTCGTGAGTCATGTTCTAATGTTTTGTTATTCCTTTTCAACAATTACCGTCCATTTAAAAAAAAAAATTGTTTTCGACAATTTCGTTGCACTTTGAGTATTCTTGATTTTTCAGAGCCTTTGTGGTATCTCGTAATGACATAACTATGTTAGTTTTCTAGATTACTCCGTTAATTCATCCACCCTATGTAATTTAATGAATATCGTTACGAAAGAAAAAATTAGCTTTTACAGCGAACGAGACAAACGAGTCGAATCGCTGACAGTTTTCTCTGTTGCACTAAAATCGTGCCTGGGTAATTGGTTCTGTAGACGACATCGGTGAAAAGTTTTCGAGAGGAACGTGAAAATTATTACTATTAGCGTTGTTACTCTTAATGAAAGCGTGGAGACAGGTTCTGTCATCAACTGTCAGCTCCTGACACTACCATTTAGCGAGAAGTGCACGATGGAAAGAAACGATAGGTCACTTTCTGTAGTACTTTTATACGTTGATGCTTCGAATCAAGATACCCGGTTACCTCTGTCAGCACTTAACATTTTATTCTTCCAATTAAAGAGTTCCACGGAACATGAAATACTGGCTATTTTTTTTTTTTTTTCTAACGCTTTCCCCGAGAGTCTACCACTGAAATATACTGTCAATTACCGCAAGTTCCATTTTCCTAATACGTCAGCTATCGAAACGATTATTAGATTCAGGAACGGACGAGAAAATATTTTTTTTTCGAGTCTTTATACGATCTTAACCGCGTAGAACGATAAAAGAGAGGTCTAGTGTCTTGTCAAGTGATTTGGTACGGTGCTTTTACTTTAGTGGCTTGAGTAGCGCCGAACACTTTACCCAACGGGACCCTAATTCCTAGGCCTCTTAATTCTAGTGCCTACCTATCGGTGCCTATTAACCCTAGAACATCACACTTAATTTTTAGGTACGGTGCCATCGCTCTAACAAACCTAATTACACGTACTCCAATATTGTCTGTTACGTTACAAGATATCGAAAGTAAAACGCTCGTACACAGAAATTTAAACCCAAAGTTATGGTTTTTATTCTGTGATATTGTAAACCAAATGATTTGACATTTTTAGCGTTTATTTATTTTGTACAAACGGTGCAAGCCTATTAGAATTCTCGGCTCGTTTGGCATTTTTACTCATTTTTTGTTTCTCGTTATTGCACGACATTTTGGAGTACATATTTTCGTCGACAGATTTGTTCAATTTTAAAAACAACAGAGGAATATGCGATTGTAACTAAATCACCCTGTCGAAATAGCACAAGTATAGCTTCCAGGGGCGGATTTACCACGAAGTTAACGAAGCTTCCAACTTTGGAGCCCAGGACCTCCAAATTTCTTGACTTTTAATTTAACTTTCATCTATCCAGAAATGTCTTTACAGCTCTCAGACTCTGTATACTTTTTACGTATTTCCCTGTTCGATTTCCCCGCGTTCGAATGCCTAACTTTTGGCAGCGAATATCAAAGAAGTTACCACTTAGGTAGTCTAATGGTTAAGCCAATAATAGCGTAATATAAACGCAAGACTTTTCCTCCTTCGCTCTCGAACAAGAAAACAAACTCAAAGTACAAGACGCAAAAACACAATTTCAGGCGAAAGATATTCGACGCTAAGAATAGGAGAAAAATATTTAAGAAAAGTGACTTCCTCGGAGTATTAATCTAAATCTGCCACAGATAGCTTCCACGCAACGCAGAAAGCTCTACGCGTCGTTTAGAACGAATGTGAGTTTGGTTTTTCCCAAAAGCAGCCGATCGATTTCAGTCGAAGCGTTGATCGATCGTCATCGAGAGTACATCCATCAGCGGAGTGATCGTGTCACGCGTCCGTGGATCATACAGGCGAAAAATCGTGGCGAGGACTCACCTGTAGATTTGGCGATCCTCGAAAAGAGAACTGTGACATGATGTGTCGGCCACTCAGGGCCGTGATGGTCGGGCGCCGCTACGCGATCATCGTTTCAGACCGTGGCATCCGTGTTACAGTCTCACCGAGTCACTCGTAAGATATACCAGGGCACTTTTCCTTTCCGTTTCGCCTTTTCTTTTTTTTTTGTCACTGGCGGCACCGCAGGGGAATAAAAAAAAAAAGCGATCGCCGTCGACGAACCCCTTTTTAGTCACAAACGAACGGGTCGAGAATGGACGCGAAATAGGAAATATTTTTTCTCACTCGCGTTTATCGCACTGTCTGCTGACCGACTGTACTCGACCCTGAACGCAGACTCCGGTCGTATACACTCGCACTGTCACAGACGCGGGCACAAAGGCTGGGGGACCAGTTTTCCGATCTCCGACCGCAACGTGGTTGCCCCGGACGACACCGTCCGCTCCGGAGGATTCGCTAGCGATGACAACCGTACGTCAACGACGCGAACAAACGGATCGTCACAGAGGCTGAATCTCGTCGCAGGTATCGGGCGACGGTCAGATATAGTGCAGAACTAATTACACGGGCACCACGGTAATGCGTGTGGCGTAATGCGGAGCCGGTGGATGATTTTCTCGGGGGCCTAACCCGCGGCGTTGATCCGATCGACGCGCCAGCTATGATCGGTCGCGACTATCCTCCGAATCGTCGTTTCTTTTCGACGGAATCCAGTCCTCCGTTCGGCGGATAGGAAGGCGGAGGTGCGACGAGGAGGGCCAGATACGGCGAGAGTGGAAACGAGAAAGCTAGACGGGATAGAGGGAGGAGCGAGCGAGAGGAAGCTCGAGAGGGACGAACGGCCGGCGTGAGACGCGAGACAGAGAGGGAACGAGCGGTAGGTCGAGAACTCGAGCGATGGTGACGGAGAGGCTCGTGAAAAAGGAAAGGCGAGGACTTGTCGCGCGCACCGCTTCCTTTTTCTTTCCTTCTTTTTTTCTTTTTGTCCGTTTTATTTTTTTCTCTCCCTCGGCGTCCGGAGTCCTTCCACCCCTTTTGTTTCTCTGGTCCTTAGGAATCGGAGATCCGTCGATCGCGATCTTCTCGGCTCGCGGACACGCGGAGCCCCCGCGGATCGTGGGCACTCTTTAAACAAGCAACCACAAACTGGCACGGTTCACGCGTGTTCGACGCCTCGGCGCTTCTGTCTTCGTCCTCTGGCCGATCCGCGCGCGTGTACGTCCACATGTATGCGTATGTTCTCACTCGTGTTTAGAGGGGGGCACGAGAAGGAGAGCGCGCGTCCATGCGACGACTCTTCCCCTCTCCCTTTCAAACTTGCCGAAGACTTCTTTTGCGCGCGCTACGAGGGGGCAGTCCGATCGAGCGCGATACTCTCCGTTTGTCCGACGACACGGTTTACCGATCCACACGCGCACTATTGCCGACGGTCGAAAATTTTAATCGTCGGTCACCGCACACGGGAGCGAGGAACGTACGAGCCGTGGGTACGCGAGTGTCGCGAGTACCGCGAGTGCCGCGTACCTCCAAGGACCGAACAACGCGATCCGAGTCCGTAAGTTCTGGTATCCTCGTTCCGCGAGATGACGGTTGATCGCGGTGTAGGAGGAGGCAGCGGTACAGTGACGGTGGCGCTGGCGATAACGATGGTAGTGTGCCGCCGGTGGTGGTGGTAGTGACGAGAAACGGTCGGCTCGACGGTGGTGGTGGCAGAGTCGTCGCCGTAGTTCTTTTCCTTCCATGGAAAGGGGGACGATTTTTGCGAGATGGTTTGCCCTCGGCGAGACGGGTGGGAGGGTCCAGGCTGGCACGCCGCGCGTTGTGGTGGGGGTGCTGGTGCCACCTCTGCTCGGTGGCTGAGGATGCCACTACCGGCACCTTGGTACCCGCGCGAATTCGTAACCGCGGCTCCCGCTATGTGTGCAGCAGGCCGAGCGTGTTCCGTGTAGTTCTCTTCTCCCGAGTCAGCTTGGCATCTTCGTAGATCGAGCACGGAGCCGTACGCCGGCGGTTAGCGTCGGCAAACGCGACAATAAAATATGGTGAGTCGCCCGTGGGGCCAGCTAACGCGCTCCCTGCCTACCCCCTCCCCGTCGACAGGACTCTTCCGTCTCTTTCGCTCCTTTTCCACTTTCCGTTTCGCCGTCGCTCTCTTTCGCGACGCGTACCGATCTCTTCTTCTCGCTCAGCCGTACGCTCCTCGTCCCTCGTGACGCCCCACCGTCGCCGCTTTCTTCCCTCTTCGTTCGACGTTCGTTTCGTGGAGGGGATGGGTGCTCGACCCGGAGGGGCGCAACCGGCCGAGATGCTGCCGTTGCCCGCGTGTTGGCACTGGTGGGGTCAAGGGAGAGGTAGGTCGCGCTAGGAGGGGCGAGAAGAGGAGGCAGAAACTACACGACAATTTTAGTTCGATAGATCCCGAAGTTTAGCCTCGGCGGCGCTGCTTTACTTGCCGCTGACTTCTTCCCGGTAGTTTGTTCGCTGCCCTCTCTCCCGTTGCTGTTCGCCTCTCCACCTCTTTCTTGGACACGACCGCACACTCTGACGTCCCCCCACCACCGCTCCATACACACCCCCCCGCCCCCGTTCCTTTCCCACTCGTCCTCTCTCGCTCTCTTATCCTCCTCCTCCTTCGCCGCGACGATTGTCAACTACTTCGTACCTCTCGCTGTCCCTCTGCCCCCACCTCCCGAGATCCTCCTCCTTGCTCAGCGCACAACGCGACACTTGACTACGCAACCTTTCTCTCTTGCACCGCCGTATTATTATCCTCTTTCTCGCTCCGATTTTCACCGTTCAAACGTCTTTCTCGCTTGAAACGCACGATCACCTACCGATCACCTCCCTATCGCGCGATTACGCGGGAGGAACGCGTACGCGTCGAACGCACCGACGATACGCGGCTCTCCCATCGCGCGACTCGCCAACGATCCTCATCGGTTTCGAGAGGTCGCCGATCGCGAACTGATTCTCTCGCCTCTCGGGATCGAACGTAACGATCGATTCGGAGCGTCGGCCGTCGAGATCGTGGACCGATTGACCGGTGGCGCGCGATTCCGGCAACGTGCCGACGATCACTAACAATATACAAGTTGACAACAGCGAGCGACGGATACGGCGACGACAACGACTTCGGCCGTGGCGTCGCGAAAGTGTGTTTTGCGCAGTTCTTTCAAGGGAACTCGCCTCCTCGCGCTTACTTGTCGCCCTCCTGGCACGACCGCCGATCAAAGGGGCGGGCAGGGGCGGCTGTAGGTGGCGGATCGCGAGCACGGAGGTTGCGGGGGAGGATATACGCCGCGAGTGGTGGGGAACCACGGAGGGGACGACGAGCCTCGCGGGTTGGGTAAAAAGGCGCACTGACATTTTTCGCCGGGCATGCACACCTACGAATCACCAGAGCCGGGGGTAAATTTCTTTTAATAGGCGACGATGACCAATTTGTCAGCGACGTTCGTTCCAGCGATTTTCACTCGAAACGCGAAACGATTCGATCTCGAATTTTTTCGTAAAGAATAACGAAACGAAAACATTCGCGTTTCGTATTTCTTGCCAAATATTTTTGCCCGGACAGTTTGTCCACCTCCCGTACGGGGAGAAGATATTTTTCTCGTTTCGCGGTGAAGCTCGCACGGTCGCGCTAACCCCTCGGTCGGTCCGTGGCGGTGGTGCGATTCGTTGGAGAGAAAGAGAAAGACCGAGTCGGATAAATCGTCCCCTTCCACAGTTCTTTCGTTCCCCCTCCATCGCGTCGCGGTGGGTGCGGAGCTCGGCTTTTTTCCCCTCCGTGGGCGCGGACTAACCTCGCCCCGCCTCCGCCACCTTTCCGTGCCCCCTCCCCTTCGGTAGACGGTACTCGTACTACCACCAAAAGCCCGATGCCGCCTTTCTCGTCACCCCGCAGTGTGCGCGGCACGTTGAGCTACTACTTCGCGCTCTTGCTCGCCACGGCGACGCCACGGAGGAACGAGTCGCGGGACGAGGAGCCTCCACGGAAGGTGGAGCGAGACGAGAGCATACGGCGAGGCACACCGAGATGTGAAACATTAGTGTACCGTTTGTTAACACCGCGGTCTACACACAGCCGCGCGCAACTCCTCTCCGCGACTCCTCCGCGCCCACCTCCCGTCTGACTTCGAGAGGCCGCTACTATGCGTATACGCTTTGTAAGCTCGCGTGCGAGTGTACGAGTCGATGTACGCGAGTGTCGCCGCGGTGTGCGTTCGTAGCCACGGTTCTCTCTCTCTTTATCTCTCTCTCTCTCTATTTCTCTCTCGACGTAAGAGTACGTCGTTCGTCCTCCCCGTCGCGCCTCGCGCTTCCGCTCTTTGACTCCACCTTAAACCACCCCCCTCCCCCGTTGGTTCGACGAGCGCCTTCTATCCCTACGCCGGTGACTTTCCGAGAATGCGACACCGAATTTGTCGACGGCACAGAACGTCGACGTTCCGCTACGACTACGCCCAGGCTAAGCCGCTGACCGATGTCGTCGTCGCACATCGATTTTGGATTTCCCGTCTGTGCGTGTGTTAACGAGGATCGACCGTGCGTCTTCTGGATCGGGGATCTCGCCCGGAGGAGAGCCAGCCGCCACAGCCGGGGAGCAACAGTGGCGTCGTAACGTGCTCCTCTCGCCACGTACCCGAGGTACCGATGTAGTGTAAAAGAACCGTGCCACGAATTATTCGCTAGAAAAATCAGTTTCAGCCATTTTCGAGCGTCGCCCTATCGACGTGTCCACTGAATTATTCATCGACGAATTCTCCCGCGTCTTTCGAGAAATTTCGATGCCCCGATACCGTTGCGCGCAGTGTGTGTTGCTCGACGGAACGGAAAAGCGAGACGGTTTTCAACGATCGCGACGGAACGATTTGTAGCCAGTCCGCGCCATAACGCGCGCCACACACCGGGGGTGTTTTATTATGATTGTGCGCGCTGTAAGGTGTCTCCTTTGAATTACTAATGCCCCGTGGATCAACCGACGCGTTTAACCGCGGTGAGACGAGACGGTTAACCGTAGTGCGAGACAAGGCATTAACATGTTAATGCGTCTCCTGCACTGTAGGTTCTACCACCGGCGCGACGCATACATGCGATTCGTGTTAAATGCATCGACTATGCGCATTGTTACGCTTCGACTAATGATTCGCGCTTTGCCTCGAATTTGAATATGAATGCAACGAAAGATGATACGGTTTAGCCTTTCGTGTGTGTACCTTGCGCTCGGTATACGTACTCCACGTCTCGGTGCAGAGATGGGCGATGCTTTATCTGATTAATACGCAACGTATAGCAATTTAGTCGATATAATTGATACAAAGGTATGTCGTTTTAGAGCCTCCTTTAAAAGTTAGGATAGAAGAATGAGAACATGTAGGCTCTAAACCACGTATCTTTACGTAGCATTATTTTCACAAGAGTAGCTTATCTTTTACTCCAAGCTCAAAATATTTATCTAGAGGTGAATTTTGCCCATCTTTGATCAGGTGTTTGCATTTTTGGGATTACGTATATCGACAAATCAGCGTGTACGAGTGCTTCCTCCGATGCGACGGATAATTTTATTTACGCTCGTAAAGCCTAACCCCCTAACTGGTCTTGTGAGGTATTATTATCATTTATTGAAAGAATTTAAATCTCTGCATCGTTTAAGCCCCATCAGTAATTAGATTCAACAGATGTAGAATATTCACTTTTAATTAGGTATTTGTATTAAATACCTTCGCGAATATGAATCGTTTATTTTCTTGCGACAAACGGGTAGGCATGCAATTAATAAATTGTGAAAGTGTTAATAGCAGCAATAGACAAGGTAAATTTTAATAAACCCTTGAATATCTTTTATTTCAGATGATCCTGTGACGAGTTCTGTCAGCGCCCGTTGAGCAACTCCTTTTTGTAGGGCAATAACTAATAAAGATTGCCACTATTTTCTCTTAAAAAGAACCAATAAAAATCAGAACATTTGTTAATTAATTCGACCGGAAACCACCCCTAAACTTAACTCCTTGAGGTCAAGATTCTTCCACGACGAAAATATTAGCTCGTAAGTGGTTCAACGATAATGTGACCTGCGTAGAAAGTAAGAACCAAAAATTGTATTGTAAAACTGTCTTGTAGAAATACCGAAATACAATTGTACACGATTATCGCGTTCTTCATCGGCGGATACACACCTGGAACGCGAGAACATGGATGAAGTTCGCGCTCAATGCGGCGATAAAAAGTTCTCGCACGAAGCCGTGAGCGAAAGTATACACGGTGTATCGCAAACGAGAGCACCGCCTGTACGCATTTATCTAAAAACTGACACGGCTATTAATCTATAATTACAGATCGCGCGCGACGCGTAAAACGCGAACGTAATACGGAGCAAAAATTCGTCGGGACGCGCTGTCAACCTCATCGTCCGTTGAACCCGTAATTATTCGCACGACACACGCGTCACCGGCGCATTTGACGTGTTTATCTAATATCCCAGGAGTCTGTAATTCGTCCAAATTACCCTCGAACCCTATTCGATACGCGTCGCGCGTGCTGCACGTAATTCGATTTGCTCGCGTTTTTTCGGCTTTCGCGATAAAAAAAAGAGCTTATCTGCCCCCGTACAGGAGCGAAATTCCTATCTAGGTGCACACAGGTAATTAAAACGAAACATTTTCTGCCAAGTTTCGGGTAAGGACTGGCGTGAATTATGTTCAAGTTTAATGTATGTAAGAACGTCCATGTGTTGACTGATATGGTGGACACTTGGTATTTTAAATTTATAACGAAGGAATCATAACATCAATACAATTTTTAATGTCGCTGGGAATGTTAAGAATCAAGTATGTGATTATGGAATATTTTTATTTTTCACTAAAGTGTGGAAGCTTCGAACCCGTTGCATGCAATCAACCCCCTTACAACCAATTGTTTCTTTCGAAATTTCTACAAAATTCTCCGGTAGCTTTAATCGAAATATACTCATAAAAAGACAGAAATATATTTTTATCCGAGAAAAAAATTTCCCACTTTGCGAACAAATAAAATATAAACTAATGACCCATTAAGTATAGTTTGTTCGTACACAATTGGAAACACGCACTATATCGAATAGAATTACTACAAACATCGATCGATGACGTGTGGTTCTAAAGAAGAAAAATAGGGTTAACTTCGGAATATTTGCGAGTTGACAACTTTATCGCACAAAATTTTGCCACAAGATTGCGAATGGGGGGCCGTGAGAGCTAATGGGTTACGATTCCCTACGAATCTGAGTGCCCAACGCGCGTTTCCCTTGTCAGAAAATCGACGGATGACGTGTTGCGATGGTTTGGTGCGCAAGATCGACGGTCGAGAAGCTCGGAGTCGTCGCGACCAGTCCGAAGTGGTCGCGGAGCGACCAGTCACGGGCAAGGTCGACGAAAGCTGCTGCACAGGTGGCAGCACGACTCGACAAAGGACGGTTATAGACC